TAAAAAAGCTCTGCTCACGTCTTCCATTTCGAGACGAAGACAGCTCATTTGATATTCTGGTTTTTAGTTTGTTTTTGTTTTGTTTTGTGTCTTGATGGTTCAGCCTCGGGTGCAGGCAGGCAGCTGCCAAAGGGGGCAAATCTGGGGTCTTCTGAAATTGGAGCAAATAAATTCTCTATGGGGCCATGGCTGCATTTTTGCTATGAGGCTGTTATCAGAGGTGCCGGTGGGTTTTTCTGTCATTGTTTTCTCCAAAACTTGGGTACAGTACTCCTTGATTCAGGAATCCCTCTCCACAAATCAGCAAATATCCTGGCATGGTTCAGAAGCATGTTAGTGCCTTAGTGCCCTTGTAACATGTTGGTGGGTCTCAATCAGATGCTGCTCATCTGTTGGGAATTCCTCCCAGATGAGCAGAGACTGGAAACAGACAAGTGTGATTTCTTGCTACTCATGATCTGAAGGACCTTGATGAACTAATACGGGTGCAACAGAGCGAGTTACGGTAACCGGATTTGGCCCAGAACAAAAGATCTCAGGGTTGGGGACTCAAATCACGGGACTCACCATCACATTGGACGTGAGTCGTGTCTGTGACTCAACTCAAACTTGACTCAGGTGTGTGTTTTTTTGCAATGACACGGACTCAACTGGCCACTCAGAACCCACCCACCTGCTCCCTTTTTTTCCGGGGGAAAAAGCTTGTTTTTAATAGGGATTCAGACTTGGGACTTGCGATTCAGGACTTGTTACCAAAGACTCAGACTTGGGACTTGGACTCAAAGACTTCCCAACCTCCCTGGAAGACTTTATTCCAGTTCCTACCCCTGCCTCAGGTAGAAGAGTGTTTGCACATATTCCCTTTGTCTCCCAACATGAGGGGGAAAAATATTCATTTCAAATCAACATGACAAGCATTTCCTTTCCTGACTATCGCTGCAGCTCCAGATGGTGCCGTTTTAAGCCCGTTTGAAGTCTCCTGGTGCTGTCATTCTCTCTCTCTCTCTCTCTCTCTCTCTCTCTCTCTCTCTCTCTTTGTTTTAGAGTAGCATTGTCCTCTTAAAAAAATATCCCTGGGTTTTATTTTTAAGCATCCCTCGCCCAGGCATGGCATCCACTCTGAAGTGCAATCCTAGAAGGATCAATCACGAGCAAGATCTACCTGGCCACTGCCGAGGCGTGTTCGTCAGCAGCCCAGTTAGTTGCCTGCTGTTCCCACCGGGCATCCCTGGCCGGTGGCCACATGGATAGTGTGCAGGCGTGTGGACGGCGAGCATTTCGGAGAGCTGCAGATGCAGGAGGCCTGCTGGGAAAGCGGGATTCTCCCGAGCTGAGCTAATTGAAAGCACATTTCTCTGCACCCCTGTTAATTCAAAGGGCCTGCACCTCGGCACACAGCCCTGCCGTGTTATCCAGAGGTCTGATGATTGTCATTCTGAGAATGTCTCCTCTCCTCGCTCAAGGCTGTAGGAGTTAATGATCTCATACAGGAACAGGAGCGGGAGCAGTAACATCCTTTCAAACACATCCATGCACCAGCCAACACACATGGTTGTGTTTATCCCTCCCAGTGCTTTTCTCGCTTTCACAAGACGGCTATGCTTCCCCTCCTGGCTTTGATTTAAAGGTCCAGCAAAGCTGCAGATTAAATCCTGGCGCCCATGTGTGAAGGCCACACAGAGCCTCAGCAGCAGGAGGAGGAGGAGGCAGGAGGCTCCGCCAGTCTGCAGAGATTGCCTAGCGAGCCCCATGGCACAGGGGTTAGACTGCAGTCAAGACCCTGCTCACAACCTGAATTTGATCCCAACAGGATCAGGTAGCTGGCTCAAGGTTGACTCAACCTTCCATCCTTCTGAGGTTAATAAAAGAAATACCCAGCTCGCTAGGGGGCAAAGTGTTCCTTGTGTAATTGTGTTGTCAACCAGTGCTCCAATATTATGAGGCGGTATACCGTATACTCATTTTACCGACCTCAGTAGGATGGAAGACCGAATGAACCTCGAGCTAGCTACCTGGGATTGAACCCGGGTTGTAAGCAGAGTTTTGTCTGCAGTACTGCAGTTTAACCACTATGCCACAAGGCTCCTGACCTTCCTCATGAGGTTGGTGTTATGATAAAGTCAGGGAAAGGAAAGCCCTGTATCTAAGCTCATTGAAGGAAAAGTAGGAGATAAACTGATAATCTAATAAATAATTGTGAAGTGCAAACAGCAAAAAGTTGTGCATTCTAGTGGGTATGATGGGACTATCTGTATGCCCGTTGCATGAGAATAGTTCTGCTGCCTTGCACTTAACCATTCACCATTTATTATCACACATCCATCCGTGGAACAGGATTCAAAGCACTCACCCACCAGCATTTTAAAGGGCACATAAATCAGGATTATTCAGAATGTAGGGGAAGAAGACTTAGCATTTTGAAATGGACCCAGAATCAATCCAATAAAACATCATACCAATTATTGAGAAGAGATACGGAGGCTGGAAGCTTTTCTTGGGAGCTAATGCTTCATTTCCTATGAGTCTTGCTTCCTTTCAAGTGTGTAGGATGATGCCATTACATTTATTGACATGCACCTCCATCCAGAATGGCCATCGGCTGCGGTTGCTGCTTCCCGCCCCTCATAATGGGATTTGTGGGAAGCTGAAACTTCTCTGTTGGCATGGAGGTCACCTGATGTCTGCATATAGAAATGAAAGAGGGTTGATGCACGGAGGACCTCCTTATGTCTTTCTGCTTGGCCTGGAGCTGCCCGCTGAAGCAACACAAGGTTGGACTAGATGATGATGATGGGGGTGAGGGTAAGGGTGATGAGTGGTGTTGACATGAATGGAAAAGGCACTTGGATGTGGGTGGATGTTGCTGTTTTCTCCAGGGAAATCAGAAGACTTAGGCGGTACTGCATCCAAATGTTTTTCAAGCACCACCTTCCTTAGCTTGAGAAACACAACCATCTCCCATCCCTGGGAAAGGTGTGCCTGCTAGTTTTTGGGTAAAAATGGATATATTTTGTGCATACCTTGGTTCAACAAACAGCTCACTTTCTCACTGGTACCAGAGGAACAGGCAGTAGTGACCTAAATGATTGTTGATGGTGTGTGATTGGCTTATGACTAACAGCTACTGTACCGACATTCTCTGATGGAGGTGGGAGTAAACTGTTAAAAGAGTTTGGAACACAACTGCGGAGGAGAGAGAAATCAGAGTTTCCATAGTAGCTTGTGAGAGAAAGAGAGCTTTGGGTGGCTTAACTAATCATTGTCGCTCGCCTGCCAGGATGGGCAGATCAACAAAGGTGAACTCCAAAGTTGCTTATCTGCTCTTTGAGGCTCAGCTTGTGTGGCTGTAAATGACAAAAGTATTGCAAAAAAAAAAAAAATCATTCATGTTACTACCCTTTTCCCACAAGGAAGCAGGTATTGTAAAAAGGCTCTACGTTCTTACAACTCTTGAGAATGGAACTTGGGACACATGAAATTAGTGTTTTCCAATTAACCATCCAGCTGTCAGAGGAATGAATCAGCAAGAACTCATAGAAGGGGTGATGGCAAACTCTCTCTCTCTCTCTCTCTCAAACAATCCTCAGCTGGGAGATTAGAAGGAGGATGCTGTTGAAAACAGTCTTTTTAATAAGTGAGCTCTTTGCCTCTCCACAGGTTGCTTCCTGTGATGAAATTACTCTCATGCATAAAATCCAAGAAGATCATCAGCAGAAATGAATTTTTAATGCAAATAGTGGCTCAGCACCTCTAATAATGGAGGCGTTATTCCCTTGAGATAGGCTTTCCTCCCCCCCCCCAAAGTTCCATAGCCATAAACTAAAATATGCAAGGAGCGGGAGAATTGATTAAGTTAGTCTGGGAAGCTATAAATAAGAATTATGAGCACTGCATCGAAAACTCATTGAACTCGAACTTCGATGAGCGCAGGCAACAAAGAGTTCTCTTGGTATCTATCCACCCTGACACGGGATTGCATTTTACATGGTTTACGCTTCTGGGGGAGGGTCCGGGCAAACCTCCGGAGCAAAATTGGTTGCATTGCATGTGGAAGAGGCTAATACCACACGGGACCACTCTTAGCAAAAGATTGAAAAGCAAAGAGGGGGGAGAGGAGGCCTGGTGCAATGTGTTTCTTCCTGCAAGGAGATGCCTTGCATTAGCCCTCCTGAGACCTTGATGTGAAGTCTGGATATGGAGACTCACAAAGAGGGTATAAGTCAAGGGGGGAGGGAGGTTAAGAGGAGCCATTGAGAGGTTAATCTGATTTTCTTTAGCATTATAACTCATTGTTTTTGTTTCATTTTTATTGTTTCTCCCCATTCTCCAAGGAGATCAGGGCTGCCTACCTTTAAAGCACTCCCAGGGGTGGTTTACAATTTCATTTTCAGGCTACATATTGCCCCTTGACCTCAGAAGGATGGAAGGATGGGTCCACCTTGAGCTGGCTATCTGAGCCCGTTGGGATCAAAATCAGGTTGTCAGCAGAGTCTTGATTGCAGTACTGCACTTTAGCTACTGTACTGTGTCACAGGGCTCTTTATAAGGCGGTTTCGGCTGAGTGAGGGACTGATCCAAGAGCATGCTATAAACTATAAGAGAGAATGGGACTTTGAATTCTTTCTTTGAATGGGCAGAACATGCGTGTACTTGTAAACATTCTGCCCAGGAATATAGAGAGCATGAGAGGGCAGTTTTGATCTGGGGAAATGATGCAGGGGAATAATTAAGCCCCCTCCTTATAACTTTGCAACCTTGTTTTGGATTTTGTTTTCTCTTATGAGTTTTTTTTTCTTCTTCCCCCAGCGTTTTTATTTTTGTAGTCTGACCACGTGAAGTTCTGATCTTGGCTTGCCCATATCGTCCAAAGGGCAGTGTGGCCTAGAGGCTAAGGGCTGGGACTATAGGTGTCCCCAGTTCAAATCCACCACCACCAGGGGACTGACTGGTCATCCACTAGCATCACAACAGAGGTTTATTATGGGGGGGCTAAATCGTGCATGGCTTTCCTTCAACCTCCTTTTAAGGAAAGGTGGGATTCGGATAATTCCACTCTGGCTCAGGAGGGAAGCCTTGTAGGGAGCAAACGCCAGCTATGCTCAGTCCGTAAAGCAGCCCTGTAACAGATTTTACTGTTGACTAAAATAAAACAAAGCCATTTTGTTTCGGCAGAGCCAGCATCTGGAAAATAAGAACCGGCCACTTAATTGCTCCCAGGTTTCCTTCCTCACTGTTTTCTCCATCCCACCCTTGAGAGCGAACTCTTTTGCTGCCATCAAAGTAAAGCTGCAGCCCTAATGCAGGAAGTCTGTGTCATGGAGAGAGTCTCAGGCAGAATGTGGGGGTGCTGCGGTGGGGTGAGCCCTATGGGGGGAGGCTGGACACAGAAATGAGACAAACAGACACACCTACACACATGGAGTCCGGGGGGCCTCCAGAAGCGATGGTTATTTGCTTAAGACCACAGAGCCTCGTGTTATGGTGTCTCCATGGAGACCGTAGTCGGTTCTCCTCTCTCTCTCGACTTAGACGTCCCCTATAAGGTCTCTTAACCCACAGAAAATATTTCAAATGCAAAATTGTCAGTGCTTCAAAAGCATCCAGTTGTTCAAAGGACAGCACAGGGTTAGAGTTCAGGTGTGAAACAAAAAAAAGAAGACACTAAGGAAGAATACTACTAGGAGAAAAGAAAGAAAGAAAGAAAGAAAGAAAGAAAGAAAGAAAGAAAAAGAAAGAAAGAAAGAAAAAGGAAGGAAGGAAGGAAGGAAGGAAGGAAGGAA